TCGTACCTCCATATGTGAAACCGGTCTCAGATTTTAGGAATGCTGATTGTACATCAAAAGATATCCATTACTAGATATAAGTGAGCTTCGGTACATTCTATAATGACGCGTTACGAACGGCCTGTCCCCGTTTCAACATGCCACATGAAAATCACTAGTTTCCATTTTCGAGCACGGTGATCAGCGTATTTTGACATTGACATTTAACCACCGTCCGTAATTACCGATTTTCAAGAATAAATAATCCAACAGTGTGAAGAAACACGTTTCACGAAAGGTTTAGGATAATTAATCGAGTACCCAATGGCTGACCTAGAAATCTCTGCGGGCCAGAGGATGCGAGAACGCTGGCTAATTCATCATCGTCCGGGCCTGACCGGGGGCCCGTCGAGGCGAACCGCGTTTCCAAACGATATGAGTTACGACCGGGACGGGGTGTTAGGCGTTCCGTGCGGGTGGATCGTGTTTTACCGTGACGGAGACACGCCGGCCGAGGAGAGGAAGAGGCCAACTGGAACGCGGAGTTCGCACGAGTGCGCGAATTCAATGGAAGGTTATGAATATATCCGATCCCCTGTTGTCGAAGTTGCGTGTCATAGTTAGGCCTCTCTTCTTATTCGCGCCTTTGTCTGTTGCATCGCGATTCTAAGTAGGCATTCCCTCGGTCACGATGAAAGTGAAAATCTACGCTCGTTCTACTCGCGGATGACCTACTGCTTGCCAAGAATCTGGGTGCTCCGTCGTACCACCACACGACTGCTCGGTCATTTATTTGCTCTGCTTCTTTACGCCCCCAATTAGAAATATTTCGTAGAGTTCCTCTGACGATTAATAAAATATTTGACGTCACGTGACGATGTTTCATTGAATCGTTTACTGAAAACTATTGTATGAAATAGGTCTAGTCTAACCCAACATAACCTAACCTAATAGGAAACTTGACTTTCTCGATTTTCCTACAATAAAACTGGAAATCCATCTGACCTTTCGTTTTATGTTCCCCATAAAACCAGATTAAAACAGTTCAAATCTTGTACAACAGAATCTTCATACATTTCGATTGCATTGATCTTAAAGTGAAGAGTACCTGAAAGTAACATTTAATAAATCCCTCGTCAAGAAGCTCGGACAAGCGAGGATGATTGAAACTTCCCTTTAACGGTTCAACAGGTTTCTACAAATTGTTTGGAACTGCTCGAATCGGTGGTAACATTGTTTCAGACAAGACGAACGTAATTGATGATGATCGCCGAGTGTCTCAACAGATTTACCGCGCGTCAGTCCAATTCGACGCGGTGGCTAATTACTCACTTCATCGTCGCGCGACCAATCAGCACAACGGTACGTCACAAAAACGATATTAATGAAACGAATATATCTTTGCAGGATTTACTACGCTACGCCTGTCGTAACCGTGAAGAGTGTAATAAAAAGTGAACGGCGTGCGTG